ATATTAATATTAATTAAAAATTTTAGTTAAAGTTTATAATAGCGATAAATTATCTTTATAATCGTAATTTTATTATAAATTATAAATTTATTTTATATAAAATTTATACTAAGTATAAGTCTTATCTAATATATATTAAATATATTAAAACTAAAAGCTTTATTATAATAAGAAAATTAATTATTAAATAAAAAAATAATAATATTATATTTAAAAAGATATTTTTATAAATTATAATAATAATTATATTTGATTTAAAAGTTATTTATTTTATTTAGCTGTTTAGCTAAGATAGCCGCCTTAACGAAGGTACCCCACCTAGAAATCTATAGAGACTCGAATCTATAAACTACTCTCGCTTAAATATATATAGAATACCACGCGAAGGTCTTTATAGAGGGAGAGTATATCGAGTAACTCTATTAAATTAACGCTAAATTAAATAAAATTAGAGAAAAAAGAATATAAATAAAAAATTAGAAAACTATTTAAATAATAGATTTAGGCTCGCTAATTTATTCTAATTACTAATATCGCTAATATCTATATTCTAATTCTTTATAATATTATTTAACTCTTTAATTATCTTTACTACTCTTCGCTTAATCTAATTTATTATTATAAAAGAGTTAGATATTATATAAGTAAGGCTCTTATAAACCTTTATTCGATTAGAGAACTCGTCTTAAAGATTTTTAAATATCTATACGTTATAAGTAAAGGCCCATAAATTAAATTTATAAAGTTAGATTTTTCTAAGTTAAATCGAATTTTAGCCTTAGTTCTAAATTAAATCGAACTCTAATCGCTTATTATACGTTTTTAACCTACTTTTATTACTATAAAATTAATTTAATTTATATAATATATAAATATATATATATCGAAGAGAGGTACGTTAAGGTCTAATTAGAAAGATATAATAATTACTTATAAAAAATAGAGAAAGATTATATTCTTATAATAAGAAGTATCGAAATATCGAAAAGAAATAAAGATAACGTATTAATTAGTAATATAAATCCTATAATATCTTCTATTATAGTGAAATTTTTCGAATAATAAAATAGCTATAAATATCGGATAGTTTTAATTTATTTAAATATATATCGTTTCGGAGTAATAATTTAATATAAAACCGTGAAGAGTATATAACGTGGGATCTTGAAGAGCTAAGCCGTATTCTTGATATTAAGGATTTTATTACTACTTAATTTCTCCGTAGTATTCTTCGCATTTATCTATTATAGTTTTTTCTTCTATTTCTTAATATAGTAAAAATAATAGATTAAATTATAGTAATATTCTTCGCTTATTAAATAACATTTTAAATATAAAATCGTAAAGAGTATATAACGTAGGATTTTAAAGAGCTAAGTCGTATTCTTAATATTAAAGATTTTATTATCGCTTAATTTCTTCGTAATATTCTTTATAATATTCTTTATAGTATTCTTTATATTTATCTATTATAATTTCTTCTTTTACTTCTTAATATAATAAAAATAATAGACTAAGTTATAATAGTATTCTTCGCTTACTAAGTAATAATTTAATATAAAATTATAAAGAGTATATAACGTAAAATCTTAGAGAGCTAAGCTATATTTTTAATATTAGAGATTTTATTATTACCTAGATGGGCGTCCCGGAATTTCTCCGTAGTATTCTTTATAATATTCTTTATAGTATTCTTTATATTTATCTATTATAATTTCTTCTCTTACTTCTTAATATAGTAAAAATAATAAATTAAGTTATAATAATATTCTTCGCTTATTAAGTAATAATTTAATATAAAATCGTAGAGAGTATATAACGTAGGATTTTAAAGAGTTAAGTCGTATTCTTAATATTAGAAAACTTATTACTACTTAATTTCTTTATAATATTCTCTATATTCGTCTATTATATTAACTTCTCTTATATTAATTAAATAGATTAATATAAGATTATAAAGAGTAGATTTATTATATTATTATTATTAATACTATCTCTATAATATTCTTCGTAATATTCTTCATATTTATTTATTATAGTTTCTTCTTTTATTTCTTAATATAGTAGAGATAATAAACTAAGTTATAGTAATATTCTCCGCTTATTAAATAATAATTTAATATAAAACTATAAAAAGTATATAATATAGGAATCTTAAAGAGCTAAGCCGTATTCTTAATAATAATAACCTTATTATCGCTTAATTTCTCTATAATATTCTTCGTATTTATCTATTATAGTTTCTTCTCTTACTTCTTAATATAATAAGAATAATAGACTAAGTTATAATAATATTCTTCGCTTATTAAATAATAATTTAATATAAAATCGTAGAGAGTATATAACGTAAGATCTTGGAGAGCTAAGTCGTATTCTTAATAATAATAGTCTTATTACCGCTTAATTTCTTCGTAGTATTCTTTATAATATTCTCCGTAGTATTCTCCGTATTTATCTATTATAATTTCTTCTTTTACTTCTTCTCTTATAGAGTATTAGATTAAATAACTAATTAAGTAGCTAACTAAGTAGATTATTAAGCTAATAGAATAAATAATATTAATTAAGCGGCTAATCGAGTAGTATATAAAGAAAAATAATAGCTATAAATTTATTTAAACTCTTTTTAAGAATTTTCTAACGCGTTTATAAATAGTAATAGATAGTTATTAAGCTCGCTTACGATCTTAATTATTAATAGTAATAAATTCGCGTTAATAGAGACTTTAAGAGGTAAATAAAAGAGATATATATATCTAAAGCGTTTAATAATATTTCCGCGAGGAGTATTAAGAACGATTATATTTATATTAATAAAATTAATAAAATTAATAGAGTAATAAAAGAATAATAATTATATAAATAAATAGATGAAAGAATTATTATTTGATTTTAAATATATCTAATATAACTATTATAACTACTATATTTAAATATTTATTTTATTTATTAATAGTAGGCTAAATTTTATTATTTTTATAGCGTTAGAAAGCGTATATTAAGCTCTATAATTTACGAAATTATAAAGAAATAGTATTTATAGAAAGCTAGTTATTTTAGAGTATAAAACTTCTATATATAAATTTTTAATAAGGGAAGCTTAAAAGAGCTAGCGGGCTAATTTAGTTAATCTAATTAAAGAGCGTAATAACTCTAAATTAATAATTAATTATATATATAAATTCAAGGTTTTATAGCTTAGCCCTATCTTATTCTATTATATATACTAATACTTCTTAGTTTAATATCTCTTATAGAGATATAAAACCCGATCTATAAGGATCTACTTCTAAACTAGAGTTCGATAATAACTCTAAGCGATATTTAGAGATTAATATATAACTAAATCGCTAAAACTATATAAGAGATAATATTTTTATAAAGCCTAAATAGCAGCTTAGTAAAGGATATCTTATTATTTTTTATTAATATCTCTTAAATTAGAGGTTAAGTGCTATAAACGCGATTATCTTATTAATAATTCTTATCTCTTTCAGAGGGGTCGTCGGCGATGATAACACGTTCTAAGGGTAGCTAGCGGCGTCTCGCTAATAGTACTTAAGTTTATATATAATATCTTGATATAATAACTCTAAGAGCTTAATATCTAAGAAATTTAACTATAAACTCTTAGCTATTTTCTAATAAAATATCTTTATACCTCTATTAAATATTTAAAAAGAATAAATAATTATATAATAGATAAAGTCTTCTTATTATTTTAATAGATTACTTTATTTAATATCTCGCTATTACTATATTACTTTTTAAGATATATATATATTATAATATAAAAAACTTTTCTATTAAATTAAAATAGTTAAAAAAAATAACGATTAAAATTTAAGAGTTAAGAATCTTATTAAAAGATATATTCTAAAAAAATTAAATTAAAATATAATATAGATAATTAATATATTATATTAATTGTTAATATAACGCTATAATATAAATATTTAACTCTATTAAAATTATTATAGTAGAGTTTTTTCTAAATTAATAATTTAAAATTATTAATAGATAATTTATTAAGAATTAGCTAAGTAATAAAGTAATATAAGAAAATAATATATTATTAAAACGTAGTTTATCTTTAAATAAGTTATAATCTAATAGTAAAGTAGATTTAATATCTATTAAGTCTCGCTAATCTTCTCTCTTTTATTATAAGAAATATTTTAATCTAGATTTTTTAAAGAGATAGATTATTAAAAAAGAGGATATTAATTAATATATATTAGAGAAGAAGAAGAGAAAAAAATAAAGAAGAGTTAAGAAGAATAGATAATATAAAAAGAGATAGAGGGTAATAAAGAAGTTAAAACTAAGAGAAGAAGATTTTTTTTAGTCTTATAAATTCTATAAGTAGAATTATTAGTTATCAGTATATATAAAAGAATAAGATAGGGCTGAGCTTGGAAACCTTGAATTTGTATGTGCAGCCAATCATCAATTCACGGTCCTGTACGCTTTTTAGTTAGACCGGCTGAGTCAGCCCGGTAGCCCTCCCGTGCCTCCCTCATCAAAAATTTGTATGTAGAAGTTTTACACTTTGAAGTACTCAGCCTGCGATATATACAGTTACTTCATAATTCCTCAAATTGTAGAGCTCGCTTTGCGCTTTCTAACGCTGTAAAAATAATGAAGTTTGGCCTACTATTGGTGGATTAAATGGATATTCAAATATGGTAGTCATGGTAGTCACACCAGACGCGTCCGGGATCGGATAATAATCCTTCCACCTGTTTGTGTAACCATTATTCTTCCACCACTCTACCAATTCTACCAATTCCACCAAACGCGTTGGAAGGCCCTCAAAAAGAGCCCGAACGGATACGTCCTCCCCTACATACTCCTCCCAAGCCAGCGGTAGGTGGGTTAAACTGACATTCAAATATTGTAGTCACACCCAAACGCCCGGGATCGGATAATAATCCTTCCACCTATTTGTGTAACCATTCTTCTTCCACTATTCTACCAATTCTACCAATTCCACCAATATGAACACATTTACCCTCGGTACCCTCGCACTCAAGTTAAACAAGAGGAGGATCTACAACAGGCGAATGCGGAGAACACTGGCGGAACACATTGCGGAGACAGTCATCAGCAGCAGTGACACAACAGGCCTACTCTCCACGGTCTCACACCAATCCACTCAGCCAGTGCAAGAGAAGTCAATACAGCAGGCGAATGCGGAGAACACTGCGGAGAACATTGCGGAGACAGTCATCAGCAGCAGTGACACAACAGGCCTACTCTCCACGGTCTCACACCAATCCACTCAGCCAGTGCAAGAGAAGTCAATACAGCAGGCGAATGCGGAGAACACTGCGGAGAAACCAAGCGGCAACAAGGCCCCCAGCACCAAGAACACGGCTCAGCTCTCCAAGATCCCACGTCATATGCTCTCCACGGTTCCACATCAAATCATCACTCAGCAAGCGGAGAACACCACTACAACTTGGCCTGTCATCCCCACTACATTAAGGAGTAAGAGGAGGAACTACAACAGGCAAATGCGGAGAACACTGCGGAGAACACTGCGGAGAACACTGCGGAGAACACTGCGGAGAACACTATGGAGAATACTGCGGAGAAACCAAGCGACAACAAGGCCACCATCGTCAAGAACACGGCTCAGCTCTCCAAGATCCCACGTCATATCAGTTATCCACTCAGTCAGCCACTCAGCTAGCCACTCAGTCTGATACTCTACAAGAGGAGGAGCAAGAGGAGGAACTACAACAGGCAAATGCGGAGAACACTACGGAGAAATCAAGCGGCAACAAGGCCACCATCGTCAAGAACACGGCTCAGCTCTCCAAGATCCCACGTCATATCAGTCATCCACTCAGTCAGCCACTCAGCTAGCCACTCAGTCTGATACTCTACAAGAGGAGGAGCAAGAGGAGGAACTACAACAGGCAAATGCGGAGAACACTGCGGAGAAACCAAGCGGCAACAAGGCCACCATCGTCAAGAACACGGCTCAGCTCTCCAAGATCCCACGTCATATGCTCTCCACGGTTCCATATCAAATCATCACTCAGCAAGCGGAGAACACCACTGCAACTTGGCCTGTCATCCCCACTGCATTGATATAGTACATCACTGCGGCCTCTATAGGAGGAATATCGGACGATACATATTTGGACGAATTGAAACCGTCCGATGTCTACAGCTATTTCATTATTCGAAAGATTTCACTGCGGCAGGAGATATTGTGGGATTCACACCACTAACTGGCACGTTGTCTCCATTTCTTTCCGGTATTTTGATACTTCTTGCCATAAGAACATGGCCTTTCTCTGTTTTTATGGGCAATTATTACGGATCAATCCTCCACACTCGATATACCTTCCTAATTAGGCCTTAGCGCACCTCTCTCCGTATATATATACCTATATACTATATAGATTAAATCAATTTTGTAGTGGTGGAAGTAGGTTAAAAACGCACAGCAAGCGATTAGAGTTCGATTTGACTTAGGGCTAGGGCTAAAATTCGATTTGACTTAGAAAATCCAACTCTATAAATTTAATTCATAGGCCTTTACTTGTAAGATTATAATAGATTAATAAAAAAAAAAATCTTCTTATCTTCGCTATTTAAAATATTAATCTTTAAATAAAATTAAATTAATATTTTTAATTTCTTTTAATTATTAATAAAAAAAAGATAAAGAAGGCTTAATTATAGAAGATGAGTTTAATTTATATCTTATTTTCGATAATAAGAAGCGAGATATTAAAAGAAGTAATTTTATTAAATTATATTAAATTAAAATTTAAATCTAGATTAAAATCTTTATATATATTAATATAAAAGAGTAAGATAATATCTATTTAATATAATAAGAAAGAGAGAGATATCGCTATTTTAGCGATATTAATTTTTAGAAATAATAGATAACTTTATCTAAAAATACTATTCGAATTATAAGAAAAATAAAATAAATTAATTTTAAAATAAATTATAAAGAGATTAAAGAAGATTATAAAGCTTAAAAATATAATATTTATAGAATTTTATAATATTAAAAATTAAATAATATATTATTACTCTTCTATAATTATTAAAGAAGCTAAGAATTAAAGCTTTTATATTAATATTTTAATTATATATATTATTAAATATTATATAAGAGGATCTTAAGTATATATAATAAATAAGAGTTTATTAGATATTATAGATTTTTATTTTTTAATTATATAAATAATAGAGATAAAAAACTTTAAAGATTTAAAATTTTAATTAATATATTAGAAGTTTAAAAGCGTTATAAATAATAAAATTATAATTATTTTTAAAAAAAGCTTTAAAATATATAGCTTCGAGTTTATAATTAAGTAATTAAAATTAAAATATAATAAAATATTTAGCGTTAAATTTAGACTAGTAAATTTAATTAAGATATATAATATTTATAGAAAAATATATTTAATAATTAAATATAAGGAATTATAGATATTAAAATCTATAAATATTATAAAGTTCTTTTTTATAAAGAATAGATTTATTATATTATAATTATAGCTATATATAAAATATAAATAATCTTACTTAATATTTATTTAATTCTAAATTTAGATTATTTTAGAAAAATATATAATATAATATAGAGTTATAAGATTAATATTCTATTACTTTAAGAGATAAATCTATTTAATAAAATTATAAAATATTATAAAAGATTATTTTTATAAATAGCTATTATAATCTATTAAGTTAAAAAAAACGAAATCGCTATTATTATAAATATTAAATTTATAAAATAATAAAGAGATAAAAATTTAAATTATATTCTCTATAAAGAGAATAATAAAAGAATTTTAATTTATAAGATTAAATATAAAGAATATATATTTATAATAATATCGATATACGCTTTAATTAAAGAAATTATAAAACTATTATAATTAAAAGCGAATATAAAAATACTTAAATAAATATTATTATAAACGCTTTATAATATAATAAAAAGAGATTAAAATCTTATATTAATCGCTATAAATAAAGTCTTTATAATTTTCTTACCACCTTTATAGCTATAAGTATTATTTAAATTATTATTAAAGTTTAAAGAAGATAAGATATATTATCTAATAAACGATTAAAGAATTTAAAATCTAAATTTTAGAGTTTTTATATATTTCTTAAATAATAAAACTCTAATTTCTAGAATTAATTAAATTTATATTTAAGATAATTAAATAGAAGAGTTAAAGAATTAAAAGATAGCGTTTAATAAATTATTTATTAATTATAAAATTATAATAATTATAATAAAAATAATCTTTATAATTATTTAAGAACTTAGATAATAAAGATTATCGTCTTTATTTCTATAAAGAAATTAGATATAAATCTTATATTTAAAGATATTATAAATACTTTTAGAAGAAAATCTAATAAAAAGTAAATAATTTATAAGATATTAATAGTATAATTTATAAAATATATTATAAAGAATAATTATAGAATAGATTAGAAATTTAAGTATAATTTATAGCGTAATTATCTATAACTATAAAAGAAAAGATATCTTAAATTATTAAATTTTAAATTAGAGAAAAGAATAGTAATTATTAAAACGCGTAAGAAATAGCTTATAGATATATATAATTAATTTTATTTCTATAATATTATAACTAAATATCTTATTCTTAATAAAAAATTAATAAGATAATTTTTCGCGAGGATTAGATATATAAATTATAGCTTTATTAAGACTTTAAAAAATAATTAAAAAGAGATATATATAGATTTAAAAGATATTCTTAGAGTAGTAATAGATTACTATTAAAATCTTTATAATATAAAATTCTTAAATAAAAATATTTAAAATAAAATTTTATAATATATAATAGATTAAATAAGCTCGATAGATACTATTAAAATAAAAGGTTTTATTAAAGCTTAAGAGATATAGATTACTATTTATTAAGTATTCTTAAAAACCTCGCTAGATAAAGATAGCCTTTTAAGCGAGTTTTATAAAATTATTATAAGATATAAGAAGAAGAAAAAAGAGAAAATCTTAATTATTATTACGCGATTAATCTTTTTTTATAATTAGATATAGCGAAAGTAGAAACTTCTAGAGTATTAAATAAATAAGATTTTTACTATTCTTTTTAAAAATAAAGATAAATAAATCGATATTAAGAATTATTATTCTCTATTTATTATAAATATAGATTATAATTTTTTTATAAATATTTTAATATAATATTTAATAAAGACTTTAAATAAGATAATTAATAAATAATAATTAATTTTCTTATTAAAGAGACTTATAGATAATAATATTAAAATAATTTAATATCTAATAGCTAAATATAAATTTATTAAAAAGTTATTATAAAAATAAAAGAGAATCGCTATTCTCTTTTTTAATTAGAAAAAAGTATATAATTAAGTTAATTATAAGTTTCTTCTAGCGATTTTAAAAGAATTAAATATATTTAAAAAATTTATTATTTAAATATAATTTATTTATAAAAAAGTTAAGATTAAGATTTATATTAATAATTATATTAAAAAAATAATTATAATATAAAGTAATATAAGATAGAGAGATTTTTTAAGTTACTCTCTATTTATAATTATAATTAAAGATTTTATTTAATATATTATTTATAATCTTTAAATCTTAAAAATATAAATAAAAAATAGAGTATTAAAGATAATAATATATATTAATAATATTATAATTATTATATAATTTTAAAAAGAGATAGATATTATAATAGTAGTTTTAAAAGTTTATTATACTATAATTAACGCGAGAATTAATTAAAATAAATTATATATATTATATATAGAAAATATTATTTATATTTATATTATTAATATAAAGGAAATTTTTCTTAATAATCTTTATAAATATCTAAGAATATTAATTAAAGTAGATATTAATTATTAGTTAGATAATTTTTAAATTAAAATTCTATAAAAGATTAAGAAATTAATATAAAATTAATTATAATTTTATTTATTTCTTAAAAATAAAGTAATAATTAAGATTATCTTTATAATATTTCTTTTTAAATTTATTTTATAATTTTTATATATATTTTTAATAATATATAATAAATTAGAAAAAAAGTATTATAAATTAATATAAAATAATAAAATTTAAGATATTATTCGCGATTTCTATATTTATTATTAAATAAAAGAGAGTAAAGTTAAAGTAATTAATTTATAAATTATTATTAATAAAAGTATTATAACTATAATTAGTAGAGTAATTAATTTCTTTAAATTAATATAAATTATTCTAATTAAAAATATTCTAATATTATATATTTAAAGTTCTTTATATATTTTAATATTTATTAATTTTTAAATAATCTAATTTTTTAATTAGTTTAATTATATTTTAAAGTTAATATAAGCTATCTAATAATAATAAAAAAAGATATTTATATAAATTCTTTAAATTAAATTCTCTTTAATTATTATAAAACTATTAATAATATTAATATTCTATTATTTATTATTAAAAAAAGTCGATTTAAAAAATATAAAAAAGTTTAATTTTAAGATTTAATAAGCTCTATAAAATAAGAATATTAGAGTTTTTAAAGATATATAAAATTTAATATACGCGATCTTAATAATCTTAGTTAAAATAATATATAATAAATATTCTTTTTAAATTAATTATATTATTAATAAATTAATTTCTAACGCTATTTTATTAAATTAATATTTATTACTTTTAATCTTATATATATAAAAATTAGATATACTTTAATAAAAATACTTTATAAAGATTAATAGTTATTTTATTTCTTTATTAAAAATTAGCTTTTAATAAGTCTATTTTATAATCTTAGATAAGAGATTAAAAGCTATTAATTTTAGCGATAGAATTAAAGGTCTTATTTTTATTTATTAATATTATTATAAATTAAAAATCTTAATAAATAAAATATAAATTATAATTTATAATAAGTTTAAAATATTATATATAAAGAATCTTTTTTAATAATTACTCTATAAAAAGATTTAATTAAAGATTAATTTTATTTAAATATTAATATAATAATAATTATATTCTATTTATAATATTAATTAATTTTTATTTTATATA